TCAGGGTCCATTCGGTGGCAGTGAGTTGGCGAGTGGTGCATTACAAAGGAGCCTCCGGGGCAGAGTGGTTACGAGCTGCTAAGGACAAGGCCAGCAGTTCAAAGCCACCACCAGCCCCCGTGGGAGGGACAGAGATCAGGTTGTCTGCTCCCATAAAGGTGTGCCATCCTGGAAACCCACAGGGGCAGTTCCACTCTGTCCTGTAGGTTCGCTGGGGGTCGGACCGACTCAGTGGCAGTGAGTCTGGTGTGCGTAAGCATGTGTAACACCTCTCTCCCCACTTGCTCTCCGTCTTTGTTGAAAGGTGTGTTCGGATGCGCAGAAATCCTCAGGTCGAATATAATGACCTGTGCCGTTTGAAGCTTAGCAGTTTCTGGGTGGACTCGAAGCAATTCTGGTCTACCCGAGTCCAGCACTGTCACCCCTACTTTCTACTGAATTTTTAAGTGTTGCCCTTGCTGTTTACATCGTTGGTCCATCAAGAGGGTTCGCGCCTGCTGTCTGATCCCCATATTCGATATACTGGGGTGGGGGGGGTCCCTTCTCCTCCTTCTAAGGAGTCCTGGTTAAACCTAGGCTGTTCATCAAAAGGCCAGCGGTGTGAACCCGCCCACCCACTCACTCCAAGGGAGAGAAGACCCGGTGGTCATCCCCCACAGTGACCACAGCTTTGGAAGCCCTGCGGGAGGCCTGTTCGGCACAGTCCTGTGGGGTCACTAGGGGTTGAAATGGACGCAACGGCCATGCCTTCTCCATTAGACGAATGGGCATGCGAGGGGGTTGGTGCTGCCTTGACTGCCTGCGGACCCGGTTTCACAGTTACCTAGGGTGCCCCACCCTCCGCATCCTCACCGTCCCCTGCGTGCCCACAGGACTGCACCATCTGCATGGAGCGGCTGGTCACCGCCTCGGGCTATGAGGGCGTGCTGCGGCACAAAGGCGTGCGGCCAGAGCTCGTGGGTCGTCTGGGCCGCTGCGGCCACATGTACCACCTGCTGTGCCTAGTGGCGATGTACTCCAACGGTAACAAGGT